CCTTGCACCGTCTTTGCCATCTCGGAATTATATAGCTTCTCCTGGAATTATATTCAAAGCCTTTAGTAAGCTAGTTCTTGTTCTCTGTCATTTGGATTTCTAATAGTCTTCTCTCTTCATTTTTTATTTCTTGTTAGGATGGACACGGGAAAAAATACTTTGCTTTATGTTTTACTTTAGTTAAACTCGTTTAATTAATAATTGCTTTTGTCTTTACTATTACTTATAACACTGTTATACATGGATTTGTAAAAGAGGAGAACACGGACAAACCCTATGATTTGATATATTGAATGGAAAATGAAGGTCTATTACCTGGTCCTAATGTAATTACATATAGTGTTGTTCTTGATGGGTTCTCTAGACTTAGGTCAAATACAAGAAGCCAATATGATATACAAGAAGATGGCTGCATAAGTCCTTATAGACCTACATACACATCTTTAATAAATGTTTATATCTCATAGGAAAACATGACGAAAGCTTTTAAGTTCAATGATGAAATGCTGCAAAGGGGATTTGTGCTTGCTAAGAAATTCTAGTTGGCCATTTTGAGCTACTATACCTGCTGGAAGTGGTAAGATTGTGGTTTCCAAAACTTGAAAAATCCTCCGTATACATAGGTCCCATCCTTTAGCTTGGAGCCTGTGCGTATATCTAACTAATAAAGTTTTAGGCTTTTCAGCTTCTTATCTTTATTCGAAAAAAAAAAAAATTATGGTAGTTTTTTTAGAGCTTATTTGGTAGCAATTAAAATTCAATTAAAATTGAAAAAATAGTCGTTATTGGGTCCCACTCGTCTAATAAAAATCAACAATAACGGCTAGTTTTTCAATTTTAATCCGATTTTAATCTCTACCAAACAAGCTCTTAATGTTTAGTAGTGTTTACTATCATTAAACATTTGTTGTTGGAATTTTAACTTCTTTAAGGTTTTAAGGGAGCCCATGAGTCTTTTTTTTTTTAATCTTTATACATATGCAAGTAATGTGCTATCTTTATTGTGTGTTGTTCTGTTTTTTCAGGTTGAATTCTTTTTTCTATCATTTTTATGTTTATTTTTGCTGCGTGAGCTAACAAAGAATATAGTTGCTCACTATTCAGATTTTTTAGCTTCTTATCTGAATTGATCGTGTTTTGTTCAAATAGGTGAACGAATTATTGTTCACGAATTAGATTTTTTTTAGAGGAATACCTATTTCTGAAAATGAAAAGTAAAAAAAAAAGTTTAGCTCCTATTCCATAGTGATGTCTTGCTTGTTTCTTTTTTCTCATTGGTGCTCTTTTCCTCTTTTCTAAAATATCTATTATATTATAATCTTGTTTCATGTTGGGGTTCGAAGGACATCTAATAAAAGGTCACCGTGGTGCTTTCATAACTAAGGAATGAAATAAAACTATCAGCTCTTGAAATTTATTATTGAGAATACTTCACTTTGTTAATTCTTGGATTAAATAAATAAAGGTTTGTAGGTGTTGAATTTTTTTTGCCTATGTGCTGTGAAGTATTTGAAATGAAGACCTTGTTTCTCTGTCTATATTCTAATTTCTATTCAAAGTTCTCAATGGATGAATTGGTCGAATACATTATATTGGGTTCGAAAACTTACACCTTCATTGGTTATACTTTTTTTTTTCCTTTTAGACGAGATATAAATTTTGGCCTCTTGTTGATGATTTTTTTTTCTCTTCATATTATAGCTCTCATCATGCAATCAAATTGCAATTATTGCTAACATCTACTTGTTTCAATTGTAGTCAAATCCACTTTTGGAAGCACTTGACAATCCAAAAAATGTTAGATATGTACTTCAAAGGATTGTCTATGGCTTTTTATATCAGAAATTTTTTATGTTATCGAGGAAATGCAATCCGTTTATGTTCTCTCATAAAGTAAAAAGCTATTAAGTTTCACTGTTTCAGCTTATTATTTGATACTTTTTGAATTATAGGCTATCATCTTCATCAAGATTTGTTGTCTTTCCTCCATTATATTTGTGCTGCTTTATTTGGTTTTTGTGTGAACGTTTTAATTATTTGTGTACTTAATATGTGTGCAGTTTGAAACTTGTAAGTGCAAGTATATAGTATATTGCATTTTAGATAGGCATATCCAGTGCACATTCTCAGCTTCTTATGGTGCGAGGACTTTGCTGAAGTTCAAAATTTATTCTTTTTTTGTTTAATCTGTTCTTGCTGCTGCTGTAGCATATTAGTACTTTGACCAATTTAACTGAAGCGCTAAAAATCTAACTATTGATGTAGGACACATGTCAACAGCTCCTATTGTCAACCTCCATTTTTCTGGTAAGTATATCTCCTTTCATGTTATTTCTGGTAAAATGGTGCAAGCCTTATTATCAAGTTTCAATGTTATTTAATTTGTTCTCTGTTTCTATCTTTTAACAATAACTAATGCATTTTTGAGTTACATGATTTATTTTATTGGTTGCCATCATGAATTTTATGTGTGATGATTCTAATAAATAGATTTTTATTTGGACATATACAAAACACATTTATGTTGAAATTCTACCATAGCCCGTTTGGTACACATTAAAATAAGAGAATGCATTTTTTTGAAGTGATGTGATGGAGAATATGTGGTTAAAAAAGAAGGAGAAGTTATTGATGTGATGAAAAATATTATTTTACTGAAAAATGTGTGGTTGAAAATGAGTAGAAGAATGAGAATGAAAAAAATAATGTGGCCCAAACAGGGCTATTAATTTACTAATCTAAAGAAATTGCATTTCCAGTAATCTTGTAGAGTAATGCTATACACAGTCAACGATTGCAATAGTCATCATATGTGGCAACTTTTTATTCAAGACATTAATTATCTGTACTTTCGTTGCATAAATGGATTTTTATTTGGACATATAAGAAACATTGAAAATCCGCCGTATTAATTTCCTAATCTAAAGAAATTGCATTTCTAGTAATCTTGTAGAGTAATGCTATTCATAATCAACGATTGCAATAATCATCGTATGTGATAGCTTTTATTTGAGTTATTAATTTCCTGTATTTCTGTTTCATTAAATAACAAGCTAATGTCTTAATAAAAGTTGACACATAGAATGACTACTGCAGTCGTTGACTATGAATAACATTACCAATTTTGTATTTTCCCTTATATGCATTCGGCCTTTAATTGTGGTGATTTGATTTATCCTATGCTAGACATATTAGGCAGGAGCTATCATTGACCATAGAATTAGGCCTAAACTGAATATATAGTTTCATAGATTAGATTTTGTCTATATAAACCTATGTAATCTCAATTTTTCATTATTAATATAGAATCAAATTGCTCTACATGGTATGAGAGTTCACCTAGAATTCCTGGGAGTTCTTTATCTCGTGACCTTCATGGCCCTATACGGTCACCAGACTTTATTTCCATGGGTGCCTTTATCAATTAGTCAATCAATCATAGGGAGGCCTTTATTGCCACTATTGCTGGTCTTCATAAACCTCGGCTTCTTTTAATAAAAAAATGGAAAACTACATTTTCCACTTGTTCCTATGTTCAGTCAGATGATATTTCTGAAGGTTTAAGCGTTTTTCCAACTTGTTATTCTTACCCCTGGATCATTGATTCAGGGGCTACTAACCCCATGGGCCATGGCTGGATCTTCTTGTTTCTTCTCAAGTAATAAGCATTCCACACAATCCCGTCCACAGATTGACCGACACTTCATTTTTAAAAAAAAGCTAGAAAACGGAGAGATTGTATTCCTTATATTGTTTCAAGAAACCAACTTACGAATACCCTTACCAAAGGGTGTCAAGCTCCTTCTTTCAGTCCATTCTAAGCAAGCTGGGAATGGAAAACATTTTCGAGCCAGCTTGAGAGGGAGCATTGAAATTTTAGCATATTAATTTCCTATCTAAGGAAATTGCATTTCCGGTAATTTTGTATTTGGCCCTTGATTGTAGTGATTTGATTTATGAAACTTTGAGACAGAGTGACGAATAATATTAAGGTTTGTACATGTGATAACATGTCCAAGAGAGAGAGGGATGAGTGGCTGACCTCTCGCGAAAGTAGGCGACGGGAGCGAGGATGAAGAAGGCAACGAGGTCCCGGAAGAGGCAGAAAACGACCTGATTGACGCCCATGTTGAGTGCGACTTTAGTGATAACATGGTAACCTCCATAGAACACCATCACCATCGCTGTCGCCAAATGGGCTCTCCACTCATTTGAACTTGCCATCTTTTTGATACCAGTCATCTCCTCCAACTCTCGCATATGAGAGGATAATCGGTGTGTAAATTGGGAAAATGGATGGAAACTAGTTTTTTTTATCCGTTTTTCTATAAAATTGGATGATTTTCCATCGTTGAAAGAGGAGTGAGAGCAACCGTTTACCAGAACGAGTACAATCACATTTTTCAATGGGATAATTGCAGCTGCGGTCCCAAACCTTTCAAATTTTTGCGCGCTTTACCCTAACCTTTAATTTGTGCCAACGAAGGTCCCAAACCTTTAATAAATATGCGGCGGAGGTCCATTTGGATGGAAACCATCCATTTGACCGTTAGTTTGACCAAAATAGTAGAGTTTGACTAATGTTGACCAAATTGGGAGGGGTAAAATAGTACATTTACAATTAAAACATTAAATAATAAAAAGAAAAAAGAAAAGAAAAGAAAAGGAAAAAAAAACTCACCCTCCCTCTCCCCACACCAACGGTCTCCTCCAACCACCGCCGGCCAACCATATTCATCTTCTTCCCTGCAAATCACCACAGGCACGCTGCCGACACAACCATATCGGTGCATCATCACCCTCTACAAATCCCACACAAACAACAGCCCAAAAAAACTAAAATCCACTCAAAATTTGGCACCAAAAAACACTGCCTGCGCAAGGTTTGGCACCAAAAATCATGTACCAAAAAAACCTGTAAATCAGCCTTCCCTTTCGACACCCAAAGCTGCGCAAGGTTTGGCACGCAAAACTGTAAGAATTTCATGCTTGGGAAATAGTTAAATCAGAGGGATGGAGATTTGAGGTAAGTTCAAAGGGGAATTGAATTGGGGAAATGGGGCAGTTGATTTTTGGGAGAGTGGAGAGGGATTTGAGTGCAGTGAGAGCTCGAGGGATGTCCCTAATCCACTCTGATGAGGAGAGGCTCTCTTCCTGTTGGGAGATAATGACTCGATGCCACTGTTAGGAGATACCCCTTCACCAAATTCAAGCATTTCATCTTCTTGGACAGTTTCAAAATGCTAATCAGACTTGGTTCGAGCTACAAAATTGCCGACCTTTCCAAAGGAGGAGCCTATAGAAGGAAAAGAAGATTTAGGGGGTTTATTCTTTGAGGAGAATGGATGCTGAACCGAAGATCTGACAACATGAAAATCACCATTAAAAGAGACTTTTCAATTAAAAAGCTCACAAATCTGAAAAATCTTGTTAATATAATTTACCTTCCACAGTAAAGGTGTTGCAGGGAGAGCTGAATCTGGATTCTGCTCTAGGTTGTTCTAGATTGCAATTTTCTGCAAACTCTTGTCCCCCCTTACTATTCTCAGTTAGATCACCTTCATCTTCTTCGAGCTCAACTTCTGTGCCTATTACACGAGAGCCCGATTCAATAACCAAAAAATGTTTTAATCTTCAATCTATTTGAAATTAACGGTGGTGGTGCCGGCACAGTGCCGATAGTGTTGTTGGAGAGAGAGAGAGAGAGAGAGAGAGAGAGGTTTTTGTTTTTGTTTTTTTTTTTTTAATTTTAAATGTATTAATTGCAAAGTACCCATTTTGCCCTTGATGGATTTGGTTAATTTTGACTTTTTAGGTTGACTAACGGTTAAATGGATGGTTTCCATCCAAATGGACCTCCGCCGCATATTTATTAAAGGTTTGGGACCTTCGTTGGCACAAATCAAAGGTTAGGGTAAAGCGCGCAAAAATTTAAAAGGTTTGGGACCGCAGCTGCAATTATCCCTTTTTCAATAGACTACTTTTTTTTATTTTTCAGCAATGATCGATGGCAATTTTAATTAAGGGTAATTATCGTCTCCATCTTTCATTGTTATCTTGAAAAATATTCATATATTTCATTTTTTCGCATTTTCATCCTTATTTCCACATTTCATTGTTCAAAATGTCATTTTCAACTATTTTCTCAATTAAAAATTATAAAAGGACAAATATACCACTATCTTTAAATAAAACAAAAAGAAAAAGAAAAAAAAATTAATTGCAATCACAGTCCAAATTTTTTTAAAAAGCACAAATAAGTTACAAATAAATTATTAAAATGATAATTAGTACATAATGTCATTATCTTTCATTATTATTACGAAAAACATCCCTACTTTTTTTCTTTACATTTTCACCATTAATTACACATTTGATTATGCAAAACATCATTTCCATCAATTTTTATCCAGTTTTTCAATAAAGAACTGTAAAATAATGAATATACTCTCATAATTAAATAAAAAAAATATACTTTTTAATTTCTAATTCTTTAATAATTTATTTGAGACTCGTTTTAATTTTTTTTAATTTTTAAATAAATTTAATTTAGACTCGTTTGCACTTTTTTTTAAAATTAAATTTTTTATTATAATTTATTGGAGACTTGTTTGCACTTTTTTTTAAAAAAATTGGAACTATGATTGAAATTATGTTTTAGCTTTTTATTTAAATATGATGATATATTCGTCATTTCACAGCTTTTTATTGAGAAATTGGATGTAAATTGATATAAATGATGGTTTACGCAATCAAATGTTTAAATAAGGGTGAACATGCAAAAAAATGAAATGTATAGACTTTTTCGCAATAACAATGAAAAATATGGACATTATGTACTAATTACCTTTTTAATAATTTATTTGTGACTTATTTGCGCTTTTTTAAAAAAAAAAATTGGAACTATAGTTGCTATTAGTTTTTTTCTTTTTGTTTTTGTTTTATTTAAAGAGGGTGTATATTCGTCATCTCATAATTTTTAATTGAGAAAATAGGTAAAAATGACATTTTGTGCAGTGAAATGTGAAAATGTCAAAAAATGAAAAGTATGAACGTTTTTCACAATAATAATGAAACGTGGAAACGTTATGTGCTAATTACCCTTTTAATTAATTAAAGCATGTTGACATTAAAAAGAAATAAGAAAATTTGTTCTATTGATGCATCATACCACAAATTCTTATTAGTTACGTCACAATTTTGTTTGTTGGATCATGAATTTTACCGATTTTTATAATAAAGCCTTGTATGGGAGGGATTAAAATCAGATTAAAATTGAAAATATAGTCGTTATTGTTGACTTTTATTAGACGAGTGGGACCAATAATGGCCATATTTTCAATTTTAATTGGATTTTAATCCCTTCCGAACGGGGCCTAACTATATTCGGAATAGTTAAGTGAATCAAAAAAAATAATAATAAAATTAAATTAAATGAACGCACATGCATTTCAACATTCGATTTATTATTTATGTAGGATAAATACAAAAAGTTATTTGTCAATGTAAGTGCATTTGGTCATGATCGTGTATGTAGCTTATATGATTAAACAAAAAGTTATTTTATAGGATAAATACAACCTATTTCTCATTATTGATTCAACTTTATAATATATTCAATTTCCATCAAACTCAACATCCACATCACAAATTTTTGACGATTTTACCCCCCGTTCAATTGAAACAAAAAGAAAAGAAAAGAGAAACTAAAGAATTAATTGTAATGATAACCCCAAAATTTTAAAACTTACTTTCGAGTCACAAATACTAATTTTTTGCTCCCAACCAGCCGCCAACTTTGGAGCCATTTTCAACCACCTTCCGACCACCAAAACCACCGAATATTGGCATTTTCAGCCATTTTCAGCATGCTGTGGTGTTGTTTGGGTTAAATTGATGGCATGGTTAGTGTCTTCTGGTTGTGGGCAAATGATTGGTGAAGAGTTCCGATCAAATGGGTGGCCGGAGGTGGAGATTCCGACGATTTTCAGATTTTCGAGTGGCCGACTTTGAGAGTTGATTTCGGCAAGATTATTTGGTGTTTTGGGGAGTTGTTGGGTGGTGATTGTAGAGAATGACGTTTAGCGCACAAAAAGTAGAAGGTAGGGGTATAAATGCCAAGAAATGAAAGGTAAGGACGGTTTCCGAAATCAACCCCAAAGGTAGGGACGTTTTGTGCTAATTAGCCAATAATTTCATCCACTATTAACATAGCATGTACCAAAAATGGAAGAGAGATCAGAATCTTCAAGGCCATGAAATAACATATACCTATCCAAGTTCTTACATAAAATTGTGGTCACTGTAATCAAAGTTAGGCAAAAAACCTCTTGGTCACATCTAAGTTAATCCATGATCTTCGGTATTGATGTCGAAGAACCTGAGAAAATGTGTCCTATCTGGTATGGGATCCTGTTGAGAGATGAATCTTTATTAGTAAACGGCTCTGATGGCCGAGATAGAACTCCAACAGCTTGTTTCTCTCCATTGGATGCCCAAGTAACCAGATACAGCCCTGCTATAATTAGAATTCCTCCCAAAATGCTGTTCACAAGAATAAGTTGACAAGGTTGGGTTATCTTTGATGCCCCAAAAAGTAACATTGCTTAAAATGAATAGATTACCACATAAAACCAAAAATGAATAGGAGTTTTTAAAGAGTATAACCTTCCAAAATAAATAGGGCTTCCAAGAAAAATTCTTGATAGGAACGCCGATAAAGCAGGTTGAAGCGGCATATACAAAGCAACCAAGGCAGGGCCAAGAACCTTATTTGACCATGTTAAAAGTCCATAGTTCAGAGCAGATGCTACAATTCCCTGAAAGGAAATGTTTAAGTAATTCACTTAATTGAACGCAAGGGAAGTAAATATCAAATCATTTATCAACACTACCCGGTGCTTTTGAAGGAGTTCTGATCACCGAACGAGAAGATCACAAGAAAAATTTGAAAAATGAAAATACAGAAAAAAATGTTGGTTCCAAAGTAAGATTATATTTAATATTTTCTCAAACCAGATGTAGTACAATAAGCACCAAGGATCTAGCCCACACACTTAGAAACACCGTCAACTTCTAGATCATCTCCGTCAATGCTATAAACCCAAATACCAACTGAACATAAAAGAAGAAAAGTCAAAGTGCCAACTAGCAGGAGAGCTCAAGACTCGTACTGTTGAAGACGAGATATAAATATATACATATAGCCCCACTCTAAGAGCTTCAGTTTTTAGATGAGATGGTCAGCACACGAACTCGACACAAAAAATTCCATTCTATTGTGTTGCTAAATCTATTGGTGGATCTAAAGCAACTAGATCCTTAGCAACTACCTCAAGCCAAGTTTGTTCTGTGCTATTCCTCCCTCTTCTATCCTGCTCTATCCTTTCAAATATAAGCAAAAAGTCTTGATCAAGCAAGGAATTAATTATTTCCATGGCACGATTGTTTTACTACATGTATGCTAATTTTATAATATGGAGAGCTTCCAAAATCTCGATTAACTCGCCTTGTTTCAACATCCACCACCCAAAAAATTAACTAAGCACCACTTTGATTTAGTTAAAATCAGATTTTTATTAAATTTTGATGAAAGTTCATGAAATGTATGGTTGAAAAGTTCATACACGTTGTGGGTCCCATGAAATGTGTGGTAGAATGAGTTTGAGGAAAAATGAGTTTTAGAAGAATGGGTACCAAACATGGGCTAAGTTGTTCCATATACCCCCAATATTCTAGAACTACCTCCGAATGTTCTCCTTGTACTCTCAACCCCATCACCACCTTCTACAGCCACCGCAACCCCCATCTTAATTTTTCTAAACCTTCTCAAGCAAAATATATTCAAATTTCTAATAGCATAAAAGAAGGAAAAGAAAATGAAAAACAATTTTGTCAATATGAAAAAATTTGCTCTCGAGCTGTCTGAATATGATAATGAAATCAACAAATATGGATACCTCAATGATTCGAGGTTTCAAAAGGAAAACACTGGTAAGATACAAAGTTTTCCATAAAAAGCAGAATTGTTGTTATCTCACTTCTTTTGTGTTAACAAATAATTTAACAGTCATTGAGTAAGAAGTAGAAGCTTCTATCTCTCTAAAGAATGATTGAAGTGATCCTTGAATCTTTAATTCTTTATTTTAATTTTAAATGTTAAAAAGGTTCTAAATAAGTTATTTTCCTAGAATTTAAATTTTTTTAGATTTACAACCAGAAAGCAATATACTAATTATGATCAAACATTTGCATCAATTAGCTTTTTAACTGTAATTGATATGATAACCGTTCAGATCGCCAAATACTGCTTAACATTTTAACTAGTCATATCATTTACCTTAATTTATGTTCAAACCACCTAAAACTTCTAAATTGATTAACTTATATTCTCATTTCTTAATTTATCTGGTTTTATGCTAGCACATTCACCTTAAAATCCTCTCCTTTCCACTTCATTGATTGTGTAATTTTGTTCTTCAGCGGTTGAACATCCAACACCTTTGTTTATTCTTCTCTAACAAATCAAGTAGTTTCTGTTCCAGAAAACTAGCAATTTTTCATAGTAATCTCCCTTGGTTTTCTTGCCACAGTATGAAAACGAGAAAAACCTTATGGTACATACAATAAGATTCTTCCAGGGTAGTTTAGTTGATGCATAGTCAATCCCTCTAAGGGAGACTTAGTTTTGATACCTATTCTTCATCAATGGAAAGTCAGTGCTGTGTAGCCTAGAGATAAAGCAGCAGACACGTAGGAAGGTGTGCCTGCAGATTGGATTTCATTGGCAAAACGAAATGTAAGTAACTTACAGCATAGGACACTGCAAAAGCCTCAGATTGTGTCAAATTCCAGTCAGTGGACTCATTCGTCATAAAGAATGCAGTCACCACCATAAAGAATACACCAAAGAAGTATGAATATGCTGTCACTGATATGCTTGCAGGATACTGGGCTAAAACTGGAGCCTGAAACATATGTAAGAAGGGAAGGTAAAGCTCTACAAACGACATAAATCAGCTATATATCATAAAAACGTATAGATAACAAAAAATGAAGTGCACACCTATATTGTCATGAAGAAAATTAGAGTTCTGCATCATTTGTATGAACTAAATCCTATTATCCAAGTACGCTACTAGAAATACAGCCAAATTATAGTAAACCAGAAATGAGAATTTTAACTTCAGTCTATAGAATCAACAATCATTTGAAACACAAAAGTAGAGGGTACTGAAAAGAAAGTTATGAAAAAGTAAAAGCAGAGAAATTGAGAGATATTCTGATGCATGTGAAAGTGTATTAAATGAGAGCTACTCCGACATTTATGAAATTTTTTAATCACACTTCAAAGAAGACTAAGGCAATGATGTGAAGAAAGAACAATCTTAAAAACAAAATGAATCCCTGGAAACAGGAAATTGAAAAGACCAAATAGGTTAACCAATAAATCAAAAAATATGTCCAGACCACCTAAATTGACTGAATTAACATGTGCCTGTAAAAATCATCATCCATAAAAATATGAACCCAAAATGTGAGCGTTAACCTACATGCTCATGTAAGCTCTACCCAAAACTGAAAATGAAAGAAGCTAGGCAAATTTCAACTCAACTAACTATTCATTACCTGAATGGCTAGATAAGCTGCCATGCACATGCAGTTCCCAATTAAGCATAACACACCAAGGTTCCAGTTATCAATCCCTAATTCCAGAAAACTCGACAATAACCATCCAACAGGCTCAGGCTGACCCTTCGCACTTATTTCACTTTGAGCTGCAAATTCTGATTCCTTATATCCAAAAACGGCAGGACCACGGAACATAGCCATTAGAATAGCACCACAAATACACACAAGAGTACCTCCTAACTTAGCTTGGCCTTCAGTTCTTTGCAAATTCACTGTTTCTGTACTGCATAAAAGAACAAATAAATCTGACATTGAACCATGATAATATAAGTGGATTACGGATATATATACATAAAGGATATAGATATGAATCTGAGTCTCATATATGTAAAGACTCCCAAACGCACAACAAGCGTACACACAGGAGGATGGGGTGAGATAATATGGAGTACGCATGAGAGAGAGTAGACTGACCCCATTATCACAGCCAATGCAAATGTAAAGACTGGAATGGCAGGCTGAATGGCTGCAGCATAACTCGGATTTGTGTAGCCCAAACCAATAAGAAACAAAAGTTGATTTCCAAATATCCTATTCAATTACCAAGGAAAAGGAAAAAGATGAAGATAAATCAGTAGAACTGAAGTACTAAAAAACATAAGCATAAAAAGCATTGGAGATTTAAAGTTACCCAGTCAAACCAAGAAAGAAGAATGAGATAACAAGGCGTCTATTCAAAGGCGGTCTTAGTCTTCTGCAAAATAAGAAATAGAAGATTAGTAAGTGGTGCACTATATATAACACCACCTGAAAGTATAGCTAAAGAAACTTTAGAATGAACAATTTGTTAGGAATGAGCCACGAAATTAGTTACTGCTTTGTGTAATAGCCTAACTTTAATGAGATTTACTTTTCTAATTTCTATGTACGTGATTTGCTACATTATTAATATGACAATTAAAGTGTCCAGAGAGATTTTGTGGAGACAGAAGAAACAAATAATGATTTTCTAGAAACATTATTAGTTGTTTATAAGCCAGTAAAATGAGATTTTGGGATTAAGGATTTGCACAGAACATATTGAACAGGGCCTAGAGATAAAGACTTTCTTGAAAATACTATAACTAAGATTTATTTCCTCCCATCGACTATATTTATGTCTTTTAATGGTGAAAAATAATAAATTCGGATTAAAATTTTTAATGATTTTGACAAATTAAAGCGTCTAATATTATTGTTGTTCAATGTCCTCAATAATACAATAAACTAAGGCCCTGTTTGAACCAAATTATTATAGAATGAAAAATATAGCCGTTATTGGGCCACACAAGAGATAGAAAATTTGAATTTAAATGTTGATGTACTCCTTGATTAAGAATCTTGATAAAACCACACTTAAATTGAGTAAAATTGACCAATATTTGTAATGTAGCTTGCAAATAGCTATCACCATTTTGGAATAGTCAAACTTATACACATACAAACAGATATATGTATAAACAAAGAGATCTAGAAACACAGATTTTTTGCATTTTCAGGATCGAGATGTTAACATAAACACATGATTAAGAATCTTAAGAAAACCACACTTAAATTTGGTAAAATTCACCAATATTTGTAATGTATCTGCCCTAAATTAGCGGTCTAGAAATAATTAATGCCAAGAAATATCACCATTTTGGAATAGCCAAACTTATATACACATACACACAGATATAACACAGATCAAGACACACACACAACCGAAAGAGGGGAATGTAGGACTGACTTTTCGCGTACATACGCCACAGGAGCGAGAATCGAGAGGGCAAGGAGGTCTCGTAAAACACAGAAGACAAGCTGATTCACCCCCACATTAAGTGCAACTTTGGTGATAACATGGTAACCTCCATTGAACACCTGCACCATGGCCATCGCCATATGTGCTCTCCACACATTGCTTCCATTTAAACTCATTGCAAATGCTGCTGCCATCTTCTTCATAACAGTAATTTCATCCCACTGTTACCCTCAATGGGTGTATATGTATAATTTGTGTATGTGTATAAGTTTGGACGGTGGATTGGGGGTGAAAGGATGGATGGTGTGGAGCGGGGCTGTGCGATTCGTGTTGTTTAAGGAAGAAAATTATGGGGAAATGGAGGATTTTCACGTGTTCTTCACGTTTTTGTGACGACTTCGAGAGTGTTGAAAGGGGAGAAGAGACCAACTGTTTACCAGCGTGTTGCACCCGACAAACCCGTGCAGGGGATCTAATAAAAGGGAAATTGACACAAATAGCACTAAATCTAATACTAAGATCTTAATGAATTTTAAATATTTTGGATTTTATAAACAGAATTCCACATATTATATAAAATCAATAGAATTCTTTATTATAAATTTTAATGAAGATTTTTTAGTCAAATTCTAATTTAATAAAAATTCATTATTTCGTCACTTATCGAAAATTCATAAATGCATCATTTAAAATAATTGATTTCGTCGATCTAATATATCAAACAAATTCAAAATCAGTTCATTTTTTAAAAATTTCAAAATATACAGAGTCAAACGAATAAATATCTACAATTTTCATTACAATATCTAGTACTATGTAAAAAGAATAATACTAGATTTTAATTTAAAAATCCTTCTAAATTTAGGTGTTGACAATTTAATTTAATGAAATCTTTTAAAATTTAGGTATTCTCAATAAGTAGTGCATTTATGAAGATTTCATTAATAGGGGAATTTCAAAATATTTGAATGAATTTCAAGTTTAAAAATATATACAATCAGATCTTTTGAAATTTCACTATCTTTGAAGAGATTCTTATTGAATTTGTGGAAATTTATTTAAATCCGCGAAATACTATAATATATTAAAATCCATTAAAATTTTAGTTGATATTTTAGGATTTCAATGCTGTAAGTAATTTTGACTTTTTATTTATGATATTGAAATCTAAGGAGTGGAGGTAGAATTTTTAAGTTGACAAATTTGTAGAATAGTTAAACCATTGACTGCTGTCATTTATAACTTTTTATTCAATTTTCTTGTAAAGTAAGAAACAGCTGAATTGTAAAAAGTCAAACAAACATAGAATCAATTTTAGTAGAAATATTAATCAATTTCCATGAAATTCAGAATATTGTTAAAATCAGAATAAATTACTTTGAGAATGGCTTGCTTCTATCATTTAAAAAATTACAGAAATCCAAATTTTATTAGGTCAAGAAAAAAATAGAAAATAAGCATTCTCGATCCATACTCTAAATTTGAGTGTCAACACGATAATATTTTTAAATATATGATACAATTATTATCAGTTATAACTATATATAAATAATTGCAAGAAAATTCACAACTTTGGTACAAACAACTAGCATGATGCTAACTTGGTAAAGATATGTGCTTTTGTGATATTTGATGTAACAAATACATGATATTTATATGGCGCAAACATGGTAGAAAGGTAACTTTAAGGTGTCAATGTCGAGACTTATAAGAGTAAATGTTCAAAAGATTATCCTATTTAGAAATATATGAATCTGCGTTTATCGTCAACTCTGAAGCATTTTGTAATTTTGACACTCAGGAAACTAGTGTGCACTACATTTGAAAGAATGAATCTTTCTAGAAAAGGAGTAAAGGCGTTAAATAATGGTCGATGAAACTTGGATCTAACAAGTTAATGCATGCCAAATTGATAAGAGTAACATTAACATGGTGCTGATGCTGTAAATATATGCAACTTTTGTAATATTGACGTGATAAATGCGTGACAAAATATGTGGTATAAACGTGGCACGTAGGTAACTCTAATGTGTCAATGTTTAGATATATAATAGTACTAATTTGAAGGATTTTCTTGTTTGAAAATCTTTGAATCTGTGTTTATTCTCATCTATTTGAAGCATTTTGTTGTTTTGACACGAAATTATTGTTATCCTTCCTCTTTGGAGTTCAAATAAAAAGAAAAAAAAGTAGGATATTATCAGAGGTGGTAAATGTTTGAAATTTAATGCGAGAAATTAATTTATATATTTTTAAAAAAATTACAGGGATTAAGTTTTTGCAAGATCTCAATTCATAATTAAAAGTTACAAGGTTTTCCTTTAAAAACTTAGATATAATTAAAATTCTAATATTAATAATAATATTATAAAATTAAATTAATTAACATACCCCATCCAATCCACCTCACTTTCCAAACCCTAAATATTTGCATAGCATTCTCTCTATCTCTTCTCTCTCCAACAGTGTTGTAGATTGGTGGCGAGCGCGCAACGAGAGGCCACGCAGCATTGGCAACATGAAGCGAAGGCGACGTACTCATTGGTAGCATGCAGTGACGATGGTGCTTTCAAAAGGCCATGCAGCGTTGGTAGCACGAAGCAACGAGGCGATCTTGTTGGTAGCATGCAACGTTGCTCTTGCTGTTGTATTTCTCTTTTGTGTGCAATCTGTGGCGGGGCTGAATCGTTGGTGATACAGGAGATGGTAGTAGTGTTGACGAACGCAACTTTGGGGATTTTTTGGGTGGGGATTGTGGTTGTGGTATAGTAGAGATGAAGGGCTGGTTGAGGTGGTGGCATCGGTGGTGGGGCTAAATCATTGGTTATGTGGTGGTGGTGGTGAGCGGTGGTGGTATTGTAGTGATAGTGAGGTGACGCGATGTTTTGTTGGCGCCAATGGTGGTTGTGACCAATTATTTGTCATTGTTGTCATTGCGGTGGTTGTGAAGTAGTGGTGGTTTTTGGTGGTGGGTGTTGATTTGTTTGAAACGGTGACGTTACTGCTGGGAGGTGGAAATGGTGGTTTTGGCGACAATACTGTTGAAGGCAATGGTGGTCACACAAGTGTTGATGGTAGTTACAAATTATTTGGTAGATTGTGACCAATAAACAATGTGATCAATGAAATAGATAAATTGTGATCAATAAATAATGTGCGTCCTAAAAATTTATTAATTTATGACCAATAATTTGATAATTTGTGATCGTGTAATAAGTTGTGACTTATAAAATTTGTGACTTGTGACCGATAAATAAATTATGACCTATAATTTTTTAATTTGTGACTTATAAAATTTTCAATTTGTGATAGTGAAATAATTTGTAACTCATAAATTTTTTTGTTTATGATCGAAAAATAATTTGTGATCAATTAATTTGATAATTTATTACCTAATTGTATAGAATTGTGACCTTAATATAATTAATTAATAAAATATATTTTTAATTAATTATTTCATAAATAAAATTTAATTAATGTCTGATTTTAGAAGTTTTAAACCTTATTTCTTAGGCCTTTTTTGAGCCCCATTCTTAGAAGTATGTAATTTTGAACAGTGATTGATATAGAATGTGTGGTTAAAATATAAGAAAAAATTTTAAATTTGTGCGTAATATTATTTTATTGAAGATTTTCTGGTTGAAAAGAATGGAGAAAAAAATGAATTTTAAAGATAATGGAGATCAAACAAGGATTTAATTTTGAAATTTGTCATATTTAATATCTTAGATATGAAATTTTCCGTATTTCTTTTATAGGATCTACTCAGCCCAAAACCAGAATCAAATAATGGCCCAAGAAATTCACAGCCCAAGTTTATGTCAAAACTTAAAAATTGGAAAGTTTTATTTTTGCCACCAAATCCAAGAAGATTTGTCCAGCCATAATTTCCAAAAGAAAGGATTAAGAAACTATTTAAAAATAAAAAAATCTCAAAATCAAAAGGATGAAAAATTATTAACTTCCAACTCCAAGTGCATGGTTGGTCATTTTTGGCAACATAGAACACAGAGAAATAAATGTTGTTTTCTAGTGTAACTCACTCTAATATCGTTAATGTCTAACAAGTTCAACAATTGTAGCGAGCATAACTAACTTACAAATACTTTAAAAAAAAAAAAAAAAAATTACTAATGTAATTTTACACATTTCTTCATTAATTTAATAAGCTGAATACATTGTTGTACCAATTCAATTTATAAGTCGGCAAAACATAACTTTACACCTCTGAATACATTCTCTCTATCCAATTGCCTCCACCACGACCACCACATCCAAGAATATGACAAACATTGGAGGGTTTGTTGAAATGCTCGTGCTTACGTTAGAATGAGTTCTTGTGCGCGTGCTTTCTAAGCATATTAGAATTGGAAGATGCCTTGCGATTTTTCAAGACACACAATCATACCAATTATCATATTTCTTCCACTTACAACTAACTAATTAAGAGATCAATTTTGTTGTCACTTTCTCTCTCTTTTTTCTCTTCTCTTCTTTTTCTTCCTATCACACCATGATACATATTCCATACTAATTTTACCCATTACTATTGGTTCCCCATAGTTTTTCCATTTTTGTAGTTTTGTATGATTTCAACAAGAATAACTACCTAAATGTCTTTTAGGATTATAGTCATTCTAATATTGTTCAGACACTTCGATATAAATCATCTTAGAATTGACAATTTTAAAATTTTCAATCAATTTAAGTAAACCATTTCATAAAATGATGTTAAGACGTTTGGGAAAGATCCTAAATCGACTATGCGATAAAAGTTTCTTCATTGCTACAAAATAAACAACTCATCCAATTGGCAACCAAGTAGATATCAATGGTTAAAATTTGGGTGTGACTCGAATTCCATGTTGAAGTAATTGAAGAATTTTAATTGAAGTGTACGTCAAGAAAAATTCAGTTTGAAATGCTATTGAAGTCTTATTCAAGTTGAAATTCTATCTGGAAGCTTCATTGAGAGTTGTAATTAGTGTTGGACTTGAAAATGTTGAAATTATGGACCATGAAGAAAAGTCGTCGCATTTTCGCTAGCCTACTGTTAACTGGCCGCTTGAGCAACACATGCAGGTTTTCTCTCGAGACTTGGTCTCTCGTCTGTCGTCTGCCTGACACTTGAGCGACGGACTGTCGCTAGCTTATCGCTTGAGCAACAGGGTTCTCCGACCCAAACACTTTTCGT